TCTTCTAAAGAAGAAATTGTGAGGTGGGAGGAAGGTAAAAAGTGGCAGGCCAGGGTGGAGAAAGTGCGGAACGTTCTCAAGGAGAAGGAGAAAGAAGTGGATTCTCTGTCTAAACAATTATCAACGATCAAGGAACTTTACAGCAGGTCTGTGCCATGACACTAATCCATCCACATAATGGACGATTTCAAATGATGCATTAATAGTTTGAGGAATCTTAAATAAATATGACCTACATTTATGCAATAGATGTAAGCTTAAATTTACCATTTATTAAAAGCAAGAACAAAAGTTAAAGATTTCCACATGTTTATGTTGGCTGATGTCCATGAAGGTTGGAGCAGGAGAAGTTGGGTCTGCAGAGGAAACTAAAGGGCAGAGGAGTGACCGCAGATCAGGTCGTTGGTGCACGGACCCTTGAAGCTGACAGAGAGACTGAGGAACTACATAAAAGAAACGCTGAACTGGAGCAGCAAATCAAAGTCATAAAGTGTGTTCCAAATCGTGCCCCTTTGTATTAAAGCAGTATGTGCAATTTAGCTTTTTGCTGGATGAATGTTTAATATGTATGGTTGGTTTGAAGGCAGCAGCAGGCTTTACCCCGTGATGCTGCAATGGAGGATATTATCATCAGGAACCGATATCTTGAGGAGAGGATTCACTCCCTGGAAAGTCAACAATCCAAAGAGTCTCCATCCAGACCATCTGTAGGTGCAACACTTTCCATCTTGCCATCTTTTAACACTTTTTCATGAATTTCACTCCACTAATATCACTCTCATGCTTCCTCTCAAACCCGTTTCCTTCTCCATACCTCTATTCCATCAACGATAATGAAGGACAAACATCTGGCATCAACATCTCAGCTCAGTTCTTCATCAAAAGTTCGTTCTATGACTTTTGATATCAGTGAAGCTGAGCAAACTCAGTCTCGATTATTAAATGACACAATCCCTGGATCAACTGAAATTGAAAAGGAAGTAGCAACTCAAACTTTCTTCACAAGTGCAGCAGAAGTGAGTCGAAGTGAGGAACAGAACAAGGAAAATTGTGTTGTTGATTTACAACCAGAACATGTGGTGAATGAAATCGAAAAAGAGGAGTCTGTTGAGAAAGAAAAAAACGAACCAGATAAGGCTCAAGGAGGACAAGATATAGTAGTTTCGGAACATGCACAGGAAGAACTGAAGAATAATAGAGAGACAGAAGAGATAAAGTCAGGGCTGACACATCAAGAAAAGGCTTTGGAAGAAGATCAGCTGGAAGATAAACCAACTGATAATGGAAATACAAATGCAGAAGAAATGTTGGACAACAGTAGGACTCGCACAGAGCCAGAGACTTCAAAGGTACAACTGGAGGATGATCCACAAGACAGTGATAAGGAACAAGAGCCTGAAGAACAACATATTGAGATCACAGAGTCTTTCAAATCTGAAGATGTTCCAATACATTTGAAAACATCTGAAGGGTCTAAAGAGGTTGAGGAAGAAGAAAACAGCAGTTCAACCACATTTGATGTCAAACTGGTGCCTGAAGAACCAACAATGGAGGAGACCATGTCCTTCATACCCGTGGAAGATGTGGACCCTATTTTAAGTGAGGATGTTAAAGGTTCCTCCCCTAAGGAGCTAAACGCTGATGTTGTTGAAAGTAAACTTGATGTCTTGGATATTCTGCAACCTGTAGAATCAGACTTCACCACCTTGCATGACAAAGAGCAGACAATGAAAAGCAAAGTGAAAGCTCGAAAGGTACTTGACGCATAGGAGTTCCCACTGACGTGCTAGCACAAAGCTTCCAGTTGTCCGCCCTATAGCAGTGTTGGCTTTGAGCTTGTGACTTTGCCTTTCCAGACCCAGAGTGTCTGCTTTTGTCCCATAGCAACTTTGTCTTTGTATTCCACCCTCTCCATCTTGCGTCGAAAAATGTTTTTGTTGTCTGGGTGTTGTTTAGCTATGCGTTTTCTATGGCTTTAACATCTCTTTGTTGTTTCTGTAGACGTCTGGCCGTGGTTCTGGTACCCCATCTCAAAGAGAACATGAGTTCCAAAAAGAAAACCTCAGGTTGTCCACTGAGAACCTAGAACTTCGTTTCCAACTGGAGCAAGCAAACAAGGACCTGCCTCGATTAAAAGTACAGTCAAATCTAAATTATTAATAGCATGTTAAAAAAAAACATTTAAACCACCTACCAACTGCATAACATAATTTAACCTGGATTATTATTGAATCTGTTGTACTTACTTTCCTCTTCCTGTAATGAAAGGATCAGGTGTCTGACCTCAAAGAGATGTGCAGTGTTTTGAAGAAGGAGAAAGCTGAAGTGGAGAAGAGACTCAGCCATATTCGTGGGGTTGGTAGCAGCATGTCTGAGCTCTTAAAACACCGATCCTCTCATCTCCCTTATTCATATTTTTTGCTCCTCTCATACAGTCTGGCCGCAGCGGGAAAACCGTACCTGAGCTGGAGAAGACTATCGCGCTGATGAAGAAGGTAGTGGAGAAAGTTCAGAGAGAGAACGAGAGCTTGAAGAAGACATCAGAAGCCAATGTGCGTGAGCAGCTTGCAAAACTGGAACAGGACCATGTGAAACTTAAGGTACATTTTGTGAACATCAATGACACACTACCATTTACAAGTTTGAAGTTGGTAAGATTTTTTTTAATGGTTTTGAAAGAAGTCTCTCATGCTCGCCAAGACTGAATCAAAAATACAGTAAAATAATTCATATTATATTTTATATTTTAATATATATTTTAAATGTAATTTATTCCTGTGATTTTTCAGCATCATTACTCCAGTCTTCAGTGTCACATGATCCTTCAGAAACCATTCTAATAAGATAATTTGCAGCTCAAGGAACATTTCTTATTATTATCAAAGTTTATAACAGTTACAGCTTAAAGGGATAGTTCACCCCAAAATGAAAATTTGCTGTTAATTTAGTCATTTTTTCTTCAGTGGAAATGTAAAGAAGATTTTTACCTGAAACCTTGGTGGTTTATATAATGCAAGTAAATGGCTACTGTCACTTTTGGATAAAAAAAAAAAACATACAGGCAAAACCAAATTAATACCCGTGGCTCCTGATGATACTTCGAGGTCTTATGATGCGAAACGATGATAATTTTGCTTCAACTGTTTAATTTGTGGAAACAATGCAAGATTGTGATAGTTTTGTTCAAGTACATCATTCTTTTCTACATTCTGTAATAATGTTTTTTGTTACAGTCAGAATATGAAAAGCTGAAAGGAAAACAAGAGGAACAGCTAAACGCAAGACTTGAGTCAAAAACCAAGGGCATTGAGAAAATCATGATGGAAAATGAACGTTTGCGTAAAGATATTAAAAAGGTTTTTTTGTTTTTTTTTTATAATTTCCATTACCTTCATGTCAGTAAAACTTTCATGTATGTGCCCTTAATACATGATTTTTTGGTAAATTGCAGGAAGCAGAAGCTGTAGAAAAGCTGAAGGTCGCAAAGGCCAGTCTTGAAGTAACCAATGAGAAACTAAAGGCGGAGCTCGAGGAGACCAATCAGAGTCTGTTATTAGCACAGTCAAAGGGGTCATCTTTAGAGGTGGGAGACAGCAAAACCTGGAAATCTTCAGTTGTGACTAGGTAGTACATTTACTTTAGTACTACTTTATCAATTTCGTATTCATGTTTGGTCATTATTCATTTTTCCCTTCACAGGTTATTTGAAAACAAGATGAAAGGTCTTGAGAGTGAAATCGCTAAGAAAAGCTCCACCATATCAGAACTGAAGGTGCAGCTAAAAGAGGCTAATGAGAAACAGCATGCCACAAAAATCACTGTCAGCCAGCTGAAGGAACAAGTGAGACACTGATCTGTATAATAAAACACTATAATACAAGCTGAAATACACTAAAGGTCTTTTGCACAGGTTTTTGACTTGATTTGAGGGCAACAGGGGACTTTGAAGGTGTGTTAATGTGGGGGGGTTTTTGTGTTCGGAACGACTTGAAAGTCTGGTAGTGTGTCTGGAAGTCGTCAAATGGATTTTTGACTGTTTTATATCCTGTTCTGTTTTTAAAAGCTGTGTAGTGTATTCCAGCTTTAACATGCGCACATTGCCTAATGTGTATCAACAGGTGGAACTTCTTAAAAATATCCCAGTGGAATCGACCACTGACAAAGGGCTTGCCAGAGAGTTTCAATCAGTGAGGTGAAGCGCTCAACAGGCAGAATATCCATAGACTTCAAAATACATAAAACAACTCAAACTCATTCATTGCCAAATGTCCCATTTAGATTGGCCAATAAACAACTTGAGAGAGAGAAAGCTCAACTTCTTCGCCAGATCCAAAGGTACGATGAGCAGCTTGGGACCAGCAAAGTAGGACCAGGTAAGATCACCATTGATTAAGAATTTCATATTATTGTACAAGACGACAAGATGCATATATCATCAGCCTGGCCCCCGTTTTGTAGGATTCAATGAGCTCCAGGAACAAATGAAAGCCGCAAATACTGAAAAGAAGAAATTACAGGTATTCCTAAAAAACAATCTCTAAATAATCTGCTTTTTTTAAAACCAAGTCACATTCTAAATGCTTTCATTTTAGGATGAAGTAAGGAAACTGACCCAAGAGCTGAAAAGCTTTGACCCGACATTTTTCGAGGAACTTGAGGATCTTAAATTTAATTACAACGAGGAGGTGAAGAAAAACATCATCCTAGAGGAACAGCTGAAGAAGCTGTCGGATCAGTTTGGTGTGGCGATTCCTGTAGACGTGTCTATCAGCTAACAGACATCAGATCAAATTTTTCAGGTCATCAGATTTTATTGCTACTGCTTATTTAGAGCCAAATATGTACATGTAACAATGTTACTTCACTTTATATTCAAGTACAATTAAGTTGAAATGTTTTATAAGTAGACGTAGGAGAATATTTATTTTTTTAGTCAAATATTAAAACATTTTCATACAAAGTTAGGTTTTACAATATTTGTGATTTGTGGCCTTACTAGCAAGAACTGAAACTAAAAGGTTTTTTTTGTTTTTGCATGTATAATTATCAATCACTGCCTCATTTATGAGACCCCTTAGATGTAATAAACGTCAGTTTGCTTCGTTTATTTATATACATATTACTGAACGTCCTCTGAAACCTATTTATAAAAAAAAAAAAAAAATACCATTCTCTAAAAGAAATGAAAAAGTGCAAAATATAAAGCAATCACAGCATTCGCATACATCACATACCCAAGTGCAAATATGAGCAAGGTGTCAATGGGAATTCGGAACAGGCAGTTTTGGCTAATATTGAGTGTTGGGAAACCAGTCTTCACTCTGGTTAAAACCAGATGGAGTAGGAATGTTTGGTAGTTATATTTGATGGGATCAGGGTTCAAACTGAATGTCCTGTAAGCAGCTGAAGGGTTGTCCATTTATGTTGGAGAATGATTTGAATAAGTCCTTCTCGGAAGCATCTGGATCACATGTTGTTTCATCAACATGGACGACCACAGGTCTGGTGTTCAGGAAGGTGTCACCGACAGGCCATTTCAGACCGAGATGATGGCGGTGTATCTGAAGATAAGATTTTACATGATTTAATCAGAAGAAAATGTGGATAATGGCAACAGCAGCAGAATGATGTTTACTTAGGCCTTGTCCACACTAATACGTTTTGGCCTTACGTCCGAACTGTTTACACGACACTGTTTTCAACTAAAAACGTAAAACTTTTTATGCGTTTTCTCCATAAGTTTACACGATAATGGTGTTTTGGGTGACTAAAAACGCAAACTTTTGAAAACGGGTTTCAAAGTGCAAGTTTTTGAAAAAAGTCTCCGTGTAAACAACAAAAAACATGAATCTCTGAAAACAATGACGTCGTGCACATGTGTATTACATGTTCAGTCTATAGTTGTTCATCGCCATCTAACGGCCTGGCAGCAGAATACAGGCTTTTTAGATCGTTTTGACAATGGTGTCGTCTGTACGCGGAAAGCTCAAAGGAAAAACTTCTCCATTTTAAGCATATCGTTGTCGTGTAAACGTAACCCGAGATAGCGTTTTTGTCCTGTGAAAACTGAGCTTTTTGAAAACGTTTTCCCAAGTGGATAAATTTGTAGTGTGGACAATGAAAACAATGACGCATGTTCCTTTGCGCCCGCTTCATATCGCAGTCCTCCAAAGATGACAGAAAATGTACTCGCATTTGCTGTCCTGCGACAAAACATCAGAGCAGTCGCGTTATAGACCAAACATATAATGGAGAGCGAGTGCAACCTGGACGCATCAGTGAATGGTGAGATATTCAGCTGAATAAAAGGATCCTAGCAGGAGAACTTTGTCCGTTCCGTCTGTATAATCTCAGTGAGCTTTTATGGGGTTTCACGTATGCACAGTAAGGTGAATTCAGCGTTTTCCGACATTTCAGTGTGGACGATGAACTTCTGGAAAACGCTGTTTTCAAATATATCCGGAATAATGTAGATGTAGCCTTATAAACCCTTTATTTACCTTAACCAGTGTCCCGTCATCACAGTGCCAAACAATTCCCTCCACTCGCCCCTCTTGGCATTCCTGAAACCAGGAAAACAGCTGCTGGAATTCCACTGGAGGAGCGTTCCGGATGCGCAGGACCCCGTGAGGCACCAGAACATGGACTGGATGCTTCTTACTTCCCAAACCTGCAAAATCCCAGTCAGTTGCTTCCAAACCCAACAGGATTCCAGTTGGTTTTTTACTTCCTAAAACCCTTGCACTACCATTCAAAAGGTTTTTGAAAGATATTATTACTTTTATTTATCAAAATTAACAGTTTAACATTAATTGATTCAAAACTGATACAGTATTTCTATTTCAAATACTCCTGAAAGAAAGTGTATCTCAGTTTCCCACAAACATATTAAGCAGTAGAACTGTTTTCAATAACAGATGTTTCTTCAGCAACAAATCAGCATATTAGAATGAGTTCTGAAGGATCATGTGACACTGAAGACTGGAGTAATGATGCTGAAAATTCAGATTAGACATCACAGGGATAAAATACATTTTAAAATATATTACAATAGAAAATATTTATTATAAATTGAAATACTATTTACAATTACTGTTGTATTTTTGATCAAATAAATCCAGCCTTGGTAAACAAAGAGACTTATTTCAAAAACATTAACCCCAAACTTTTAACCTTTATACTTGCCATATGGATTTCCGTTAACATTGGTCCCGATAAGTTCAAGGGTTTGCTCCATGAGGTCAGCCAGAGGAATGCTGACAATTTCAAGCAATCCTTCATCGTCCCCATGTGTCTTCAGGACAAGGGCAACGCCAACATCATAATTGACCACAGAGGCGTGCCAGCAATACTGCTTGTTGGTTTGATCCACCGGAACCCAACCTTCATAACAAAGAGATATAACTATGCCATCAGCTGCCTTTATTTTCAAGTACAGTATAACATTGCAACAAGAAGATGAGAAACAAGAGCGTGTTTCAGAGACACCAACCCACCGGGTATGTGTCCATGTTCGTCAGGCACTGGATGGCCATTCTCATGCTTGACTCTGTGAGCAGCGATCCAGGATTCTGGCACTTCTCGGAAATCTTCATCCATGTTCCACACAAATCCTGTTATTTGCCAGAGAATCAAAAAATATCTGATGTTTAGCTCTTTTCATTCTCATTCACTGCTTTGAGACTGTTTCTTGTTAGCCAGTGAGTGAAAATAACACTATTGTGTTTGTTCTAATATTTATACAAGTTAAATAGCGAGACAAGATTAATTTTGAAAAAATCTCAAATAAAAATGACTTAGACCGAAATACCTTTATAGGTCTTCTGTGAATACTGATACTTTTTGAATCTCTTGTCCGCCTGCTTGGTGGGTTTCCGATCCAAGCGAGCCCAGAGATAAGGTTCCCCTTAATAAAAAAAAGAAATTATTACTTTTATTCAGCAAGGACAAATTAAATTAGTCGAAAGTGACAGCAAAGGCATTTATAATGTTACAAAAGGTGGTGGGGGAGGGGGGGATGTATCACTGTTTCCACAAGAATATTAAGCAGCTGTTCTTACTGTTCTTCAACAATGATAATGATAAGAAATGTTTCCCGAGTACAAAAATCAGCATATTGAAATGATTTCTGAAAGAAGTTAAGATTCAGCTTTGCTATCACAGGAATTACATTTTTAAAATAGAAAAGTTTTTTTTTTTATACTACTTTGGTACTGGTTTTACTGTATTTTTGACCAAATAAATAACGCCACAGGTTACGACTCGTTTATGAGCCAGATTATACCTTTGTATGTGGTGACATAGCAGCATGTCCCATCAATCTTCTCAGTTGCTGCAGCACAGTGAATGCCTGAGGCAAGAGCAGTAGGGTGCACTTTCTCAGTGGCCACCACCTGGAACTGCTGTACGAGAATAAGAGAACCAGAGCATGTACAATCTGATAATAAATCAATTCAATCTACCATATACAATGCATGATGACATTTTATGTCATACGTTTTATGTGATTATATAGCACTTTTAGATCAGCCCGTTGACATGGGTGCAGTTTCTCCCTTCAATGCACCGACTAAAATAATAATTAAAATATGTATGAAAAATTATGATGCATTTACAATGTTTATAGGGTTTTGGTGATAAGACAACATGTAATGTAACAAAAATGCAGCTCACCCACCTGACAGTCGCGTTTTCTGGATGGTTCGTTTCTCACTTCCGTCAGGAAAACGCATGGGATTTTCTGTTGCACTGAACCCAGACGCCGCATTATCAACGCTGTTAATCAGCTTCAATGAGGGGTGTGTTGCTTTACAAACTGAATATGGACTGGTGAGATCAACACATTATCAGATCAGCCTAGCGATCAGAACATGCGCCTAGTGCTATTTGTTCAGATTTCCTCTTTCTGTAGAGTTATGTTAAGTTGATCTTTGTCGCCATCTATTGGAACGGAGAGTAAACGGTTTGTTTTTAAATTGAGCAGGTTTTAAGGGTATGAAAGCCCGTTTCTGCCTCGGAGCAAAAAAGGTAGTTGCGACTTTTTAATATTTTATTTTTAAAACCGTTTTACACATAAATAAACGAAGAAAGATTTAAATAATACGCTTTCATCTCCATGGAGCGGGTCGTCTCATGGGGGCGCCATGTTGAGATTCACTGACTCTAGTCCAGGGGTCTCAAACTCGCGGCCCGCGGGCCATTTGCGGCCCGCGGGGTGATATTTTGTGGCCCCCTACTTGACATTAAAGTTTAATGTTAGTGCGGCCCGTCGTTGCGTGTGCCGCGTTTAAAAAAAAAAAAAAAAAAAAAATGTATCCCTTATGGGCTAACATAGATAGTCTCGTGACAGTTTACGGTGGGTTTGTTGTCAATAGTTGTCATAGACAACCGCGAAGTACAAACATACTGCGCCTGGAAAAAATGAGCGCGTCGCTTCAATTATGAGCGCGCTTGCCGCGCACCTACATTTGAAATAACGAACTTGAGCGCGCAAAATATGTGAGCGCGATATGTGAACGGGAGCGACGTGTTGGAGAGAGACCCTGCTCTAAAACAATGTGAGAATAATCATTTTGAGCTTGTAATATGTGTCCAACAGGTTGATAAGAAGGTTTGGTTTGATTTGTGCAGTATTTGCCTGAGACACTATACATGTGTAGAAAGAATTCAATAAGACGGGCAGACATGACTGCAAATATTTGTATTTCAAAAGCAATAATTGTTTTTCTAAGTATAATAAAAGGAAATGTGCCTTGAAAACATTCAATATCATTAATGTGTTGTATAAAGAAAATAAAAAGGACATAAGCAAATATAAATATCACAAATATGAGTTATAGACAAAGAAAGTTTGTAAAATGAACTTCAACTGTCAGAAGGACAGCTCATGAAGAACCAATCATGTACAGAAAGGAATGTTCAAATTCAGAGGAACAGTTCAGAAGAAACGTTAATAATAAATATTGAGAAGATTGGATCAGTTGTGCTCCTTTTTTGGAATACTTGAATACTATTTTTTGTGGAATACTTGATGCGGCCCAGCCTGACCCAGACTCCACCTCCAGCGGCCCCCAGTTAAGTTGAGTTTGAGACCCCTGCTCTAGTCGGATAAATCTATCATCGCTGACTAAAGGGAATTTCCACGTTGTCATTTGAAACTGATATTTTGAAACAATGTTTTTGTTTTGACGTCTTCATGCTCCATCATTTCAGTTTTGAACTCAAGATAATTATATCTATTTAGTTAACTAAACATTTAACCTGCATAACTGAGAAGAATTCACATTCGCAGGCATATTTACGATCCTAACATCACATAATGTAATAAAAGTTGTGTTTTTTATCTCTCCTTCAAAAGGATTATTTTTAATAAATATCTTTTGCAAACAGAAAGTGTATAAACAATTTAATGCCAACAACTTTAATGACATGAGTCTATGGACAGCCTCTCAAGAGCATATGCATGACTTCTCATTAAATAACATTTTATATTACAAAGGCAGAATTTTATCTTCTCGTGCCCTTTAAAAGCACACAATTAAGCCTATAAATATATACACATATTTACCATTTCAGTATTAGTTTTAAATGTTGTACCTTGTAACTTGTTTTAAGCCAGAAAATACCTTATCCAGGCAAAGTGCGAAGTTACATAGGTAACGACCAGAGGTGGGTCTATAAAGCACAAGTTAATCAGTATGGACCCACTATGAACTATTTTTTGTAACTGATGCCAAAATCTATTTGATGTCTCCATCAGGCTTCATGCTGAAGGCTTCCAGGCGCTCGCTCTCGGGCAACAGGTTGTTGAGACGCTCCATCAGTGGGATGGTCTGGTCGATACCCATCTGGATGCGTCTCAGAATCATCGACATCTCATTGACCTTTTGGATCTGTTCGGCGTACTTGGCGTAACGCTTTTGCCTCTCCTGCATGATGCTGAATAGCGCCTCCACTGACAGATCCATCTGAGAGAAAAAAAGTTTAGCATTTACAGATAGCTTGTAAACAGTAGAATTCAGTAGAAATAATGGTAAATACCTCTTTGATCCTCTTGACCAAAGCATTCTGGTCAAAGGCAACAGCCTCCGCACACTGGTGAAGGTGATCCTGATATCGGACGCAGAGCTGCAGTACCTGTGCGGAATCCAGCTTTTCTAAACAGACAGTGCTGGGGGAGGTTTGACCACTGAGCACACCTAAGACGATGACACCAATATTAGGCCCAAACTGTGATTCATAACATTATGAACTAAGGCTGAATTGATACAGATTTCATGAATCGATTAGATTCCGATTCATTTGAAAATTTCAATTAACCACAGAGCCCAAATACAATTGTTAGTTAATTTTAGATAAGAAATTCAACACTTACATAAAATCGTATATAACTGGAGTTGTATACAAACATTTTAATGCACATAAGGCAGTTTTTATATCAACTTTTTAATTATATAATTATGTTCCTATGGAAGCTTAACTCCATCACGTAGTAAAGGTAATTGTGATTTTTTTTCTCACAATTCTGACTATTTTTATCTCACAGAAAAAAAATTGTTTAGAGAATTTTATGAATTCTGAGAAAAAAAAGTCGGAATTGTGAAATATAAACTTGCAATTGCGAGAAAAAAAGTCAGAATTGTGAAATAAAAAGTCACAAACATTTATATTTTTATTCCGGGGCAGAAACAAGCTTCCATATGTTTTACACTCCAATTCGTTATTGAAATATAAATGAATGTGAATTTAAATAAATCTTTCATGAGCATTACAGATACATTATTAAATGATGAAGACATCAGGTTAATTAAAGTAATAATGAATAGCCTATGTAATATATTGCATATATTTATCACACAATGCTCCTCTTTTTAAAAAAAAATCTAGATGACTACTTGGTTAAACTGTTCGGTTGAACTGAGGAAGCTACAGTGATCTGTAATGCCACATTAAAAATGTCAAAATTAAATTTATTTGAATTTCATGAATTTTTTTTAAAGAATTTGGAAGCTAAGACTGTTTCATATCAAAAGTAACAAAGCTTATTGTGATTTATTAGATGGGAGGTGCACTACAAAGTTTTGATCATTCATCAACTGAAAAAAGCATGGACAAAAAAAAATCGATCTTGGGATTTATAAATCCATATGCGTTCATCAAAATTAAGATAGATTAATCAATATTGTCAGCCCAGCCCAATTCTAAACAATTTATTTGCTTATAAAAAAAACACCTAAACTAACAGCATGGTTGTTAGCATCAGATTAGTTGGCATTTGGACTGCTGCTTACCTTTTAGAAGAGGCTGAAAGGTGGGAATTTCCTGTAGCTTTATAACATCTGGATCATTATGGATATTCCGTAATGACTGAGTTCCTTGGGTAACAACTACTATGTCATCCATTTTGGCTCTTTGCTTGGCTGGAGAGGGTACAACTGAAACAACAAGACAGAACTTACTGAGGTAATGCTGGGAGAATATACACAACATAAGAAACATCTCCTTTTTAACAGATTTATGTATATAATTAAAACTGACAAATTACAGATAATGATACCATTCCCATGTATAAAAATCAGCTGATATTATGTTTAGTACCTGAAGCACTGAATTCTGAATGTTTATGTTCAGCATCTCCACTTTGTTCAGCACCCATGGTGCACTTGGCTTAAACACAAGAAAAAAAGACAACACAATTATATATATATAACTTTTATATATATATATATGTTATATATTAACACGTATAATACATCTAATAGTGTAATACAGAAGTACGATACAAATATGTTTTTTAAAACTTTATTTTAAAAAAATTATGATAAATAAACTACACATGCTTTACTTACCTTGATGTTGATGTTGTTAGTTGTTTAACGGCTGTCTACGTGTGGCGATTTCATTCGGCTGACCGTTTTATTGAATGAAAGGTCTGCTAATGTGTTACATTGTAGCTTACGTAAATTACAAACATCGTGAGATGCCAAACCACAATACTGACTGCAGATAACGTGTGCGTTGCTATATTTTTTTTAGCAAATAAGGTTACAATCACTGGAGGTACAAATGAAACATCCGGTCTAATAACATAAGACGCGTGATGATGACGTCATGGGGTTGTTTTCATGTGACCATTCAAGCATGTACGATTCTATTTTACAACTAAAATAAAAAGCACTTTTCCACACTCGTATCTCTCTATTCAACTTACAGAGAAAGCGAGAAGAAAAACAGTATATGCTTATAATGATGATTGAAAAATTAATGAATTAATATATAGTTTGTATAGCCAACTTTATATACACAAAATTGATAATGTACATCCAAATATATATTTAGAATTATATAAATTATATATTATAATTATTCTTTCTAAAACTGATTTTTTTTTTTATATAGTGAATCGTGTGTAAAAGAAAATGTGTATCTTCTAAATGTATTAACTAGTCATAATTTTTAAATCAGATTTTGTCTACATTAGTTCGTTTTAAACATTCATGTGGTGTGACAAATAAGCTGCATGAATAATACATTTTAACAAATGTATGCTTTTTCAAAACTTTTTGATGGACACCTTGCCCTGATCCCGCTCATCGCAACACAAGAAATGATTAAATAACGAATGTGTAGATTTATTTAAAAAGCCACCTTTTTAATTAAATAATATAAAATATTACGAATACTGTATTACTGTTACATATCTGGGGAAATCCTTTGTAATTCTTCCCCTTTTTGTTTTATTTGTTTATGTATCCAGTTGCTTGTCTCCGCTACCTTTGTTTTCATTATGATGTTTTTTTTTAACACATTCATATTCAAAATGTTCACTTAATTCATTCAAATTCGGCTAGTTTCTCTCAAATGAATTATGTAGATTTATTTGAAAAGCCACATTTTTATTAAATAATATAAACTATTAAGAATACTGTAATACTGTTACATATTACATATCTGGGGAAATCCTTTGGAATTCTTATTTTAAATAACAGTTTAGAATTTTGCATCTAGAATTTAAGCGTATGATTCTCAACAATCTCATCCATTTCTCCATTGAGCAAGAACCATCACTGTAAAAAAAAGAAATAAATAGGCAAGAACATTAGACAATGCAGCAACATGCGATTGAGAACCACCCCTTACTGGGATCATCAGCCATGTCGGTGAATCGCAATAAACCCTGTTTGATTGGCTATTCTGTATGTCAATCATTCTGCCGTGAATGTAACCTCCATTCTGATTGGCCAAAATAAGTGCAACTATTTATCCAAAGATCTTATTGGTGGAAAATATAGGTTAGTGGTCCGACAGTCACACGAAGGAAAGAAAAGTAGGTCAGAGACTGATTCCGTTTATGTCACAGTTCCTCACGGACCGGACGTCAAATAACCGAATAAACTGTGATGATCAGCTATTCCTCCGGTAAGTGTGACGTTTTGACGTTTGACAATTATCTCTATGTATCGCGTAATGCTTATCGATGTATTATGTGCGGTTTTTTGTCCTCTCGAATATTGATTTCAGTAGGAGGGGCGTCTGTGACATTTCTCAGGTTGAATACCTTAGAACCGATGCAGCTGCCACCACAACAAAATCAACCATGGTGTCAGTGATTTAAGTAAGAAAGCCATCAATCATAGCAGAACGCAGCCACAGAGACACCCGTCATCGATGTGAGGTTAATGATCTGCGTCGCCTTTAAGTCGGTTGAATAGAGGGAGTGCAAGTGTGCTTGAGCCTCCTGTGTGGGTTAGTCACTTCAAAAGCTAACGTTACTTGCATTTACATTATTTGACTGCTGTATTCGCCTTCTAAATTGGGGCTCTCGGATCCTTAGTGGCTGGCTGTCTATCTAGGCAGCATTTTGTGAGGCTTAGTAGGCTCTCACAAGTGATGCTTTCTAGGTAGGGTTTGAGTCAGGGCTATGTTAATCAGTAGCGTCATTGTGCTTCCGATTGTGGTTTACCCAAGTCCGTTTTACTGTCGTTGTAAAGATACCAGTTTAAAGGTTGTGAGGTTGGCCACCATCTATATGTGCTTTTTTTAACCAGTCCGCGTAAGTAATAAGAGCTAGAGACAATTGACTTTATATATATATATATACACAATATGGCTGTATATATATATCTACAATATGGCTGTATATATACATTTACATTTATTTATATGCTTAAACACACACATAGTGGGGTCCAAAAACCCATTTAAAAAATCTGTCATTTTAATTAAACGTGGAATATTTAAAGGGATAGTTCACTGAAAAATGAAAATTGTCATTAATTACTCGCCCTCATCATGTCGTTCCAAACCCTGTAAGACTATCGTTCATCTTTCGGAACACAAATGAAGATCTTTTTTGATGAAATCTGTGCGATTTCTGTCCCACTGTTGACAGCTACGTTTCAAAAAGTTCATGAAGGGATCTTAAAAATAATCCATATGAATTAAGTGGTTAACTCCACATTTTCTGATGAACCGATTGAATTTAGGCTTTTATTCACATTTGAACATTGATCAGCGAACATAAACAGAAGCTCAACCAAACACAACACGTGAGAACATATCTCATTGGTTCTTGAGGAAGCTCAAACGTGCTGCGTAACACACGAGAATGAACCTCTTTGGTTCTCGCACGTCAATCGAACATTCTTGAGCTTCTGTTTACCACAACTGATGTGAGCGTTGATGAATGAGTGTTTATATGTGAATAAAAGCCTAAATTCAATCTGTTCAGTGTAAAAAGCGATCGTGTCTCTTCAGAAAATTACCTGTTTGTGACACTGACCATGTAAACTCATTTTTACAAAAGGTCAGATGTTCTGTGCAACTATTAATTATTTTAAATATAAATATTTATTATTAAAATGTAGTTCATATGTTTGTATTTATTTTGAATATGTATTATTAATAGAATAGAAATGTTATTTTTTTTACTTGTATATTTCAGTGTAATATTAATATTAAAAAAGTAATTAATTAATATCGACAACAAATAGTACTTAAAGAATTTAAAACATTTAAAACAAATGTGACAGCTTGTCCCAACCTGATATTTGTAAAAACTACTATACCTTAAAGGACAGGACAGTTTGCTTCCAGTCATGAAAAATCGAACAAGTTATTATGTGAATGCTGCTTTCATATTGTAAGATGGGTGTGCTGCATTCCTAAAGTACAGCATCAAACTCTCATCATTAGGGCGTTCATCACTATTGACTTCCAGAATGAGTTGTTTTTCCTTTAACCACATCTGGACTTTCTTCCATTCATCCACACACGTCACGTTTCTCCTGAATTTGTCTGTAACTGTAACAAAAAATTGAGGCTCATAATTGGGATGAGTAATACAGGTATAATGCAAGGGAGCTTTAATATGCATAGTTGGCTTTCGTCAAACTGAAATCATCTTGAATTCAAATAAACTGAGATGACCTACTTCTATCTTTTTTGCTCGTCACTTTCTTCCTCTTTTTTTTTTTCTTTTCTTTATATCTGGCAGTCTGAAGGCAAGCCCACGCATTCAAGAATAGATCATTTTAAAGATGGGCAGAGTGCCGGTGATGCATGAGCTATGCATCTGTATGCTTGAATAAAACCAGTTTTGTTATATACCCAATAACACTGTTATTATAACACTATGACTGATGTGTTGTCGCATGTAAAACTGTGCTCTTGCTCCAGAGTGGGCATTGAAACGGCTGATTGAAGGGTCTGTGAACACAATTTCAGCAGAAAATCCCGTTTGAACACAGGGGAGTCCTGTTTCATTTACGGCTGGAGAAAATCGGTCTTCTGGTCCTTTCTTTCTGCCAGTTGCGTTTCTGTAATCTAAATGTGGCCTAGATTGCGAGCTTTCCAAGGGTTTCCTGGCAACCAGATCAGGTCATTGATGAAGCTCAGTCATTCCTCCTGGTGTATGTGAGTGAGTGTGGGAGTATGAGCGAGATTGTTTTTCCTCATTTGCTTGTTAATAACAAGGTTGCCCAAGCTAACCTATTAACAACTTAGAGATAGTTCACCCCAAAATGAAAGTTCTGCCATCATGTTTTCACCCTCAAACCTGCATAACATTTTAATTTGAGAAATGTCTGTTTTTTTTTTTGTTTTTTTTTCATACAATGGAAGTCAATGGGGGTCCAAAACTGTTTGGTCAAAAAAATAATGGTTCACTTCTCAGACAAAGTGAAGTCAGCTATTTTCTATTAATGAATACTGACTAGTCTTGACTGTAACTCATAACCTCAAGTGTGACGTCTATGTGAAACTGAAATATAGTTTTTCGTTGTTTGAAACCCATTTGGTAAATGCAGCTGTATTGTTTTTCACAGGATCTTGCCACAGGTGGAATGCCATGTATTGAACACAGCTGATTGACTGAATCTGTGCAGTGAGCATCTTTTGTTTTCTATACACGCACATTGATATAATTTATAGCATATTGTCGCCACTTTGAAGAACTGTAATGTTCTTAGAATCTTTTTTCTCTTAAGATGATCTAATGGCAGACCAAAGAATGGACATCTCCTCCACGATGAATGAGTTCATATCCCAGAGCTCGGCAGATCTCATCAGCAGTTCCATTGGCACCACGGGCATGGACTACACCCGCAAGAGGAAGGGCAGCACCACCGAATACCAGTGAGTAAACTCCTGATAGTATAGGATATAATAATAGTAAAAAAA